GGTCTAATTTTATCTTTTGGACAAATTTTTCTATATGAATTGTGTTGCAGTCATGTTAATTTTTGGTGAATAAATTATTAAAACACTTTTGAATTTATGACTGATTATTTGAATTATAGCACTGTTTAAAATGTATAATTTTATGAATTTTCTGTAACATCCCACAATATTTATGTACGATTCCATATTAAATATTATAAGCTCAATGGCGCCAATAGCCTAGTGGTTAAGTGTGCAGACATATAGCACTGTGATGCTCATGGTGACCGGAGTTCGATTCTTGGCTCAAAGTCCTTTACCAACCCTTCCCCTGTCTGCTCCAAATGCTTTCCTGTCAGTAACCTCCACTGTTCTTTCCAATTAAAGGTGAAAAACCCCTATAAAATATATATAGAAAAGATAAGAAAATGTACTGTAAAATTACAGCAAAAAAACATATTTTTGAATAATGTAATTTAACGCCTGTTATTTGAATTTTTTCTGGCAGCTGGGGTGCTGGGACATCAAAACGTAAAACAATGGACATTAAATTACAGAAATTTTCTGTATTTTTAAAATTACGGTACATTTCTGTCATTTAACATCTGTTATTTCACAGTAAATTTTTGTCATTTAAAGGCTGTTATTTAAATTTTTTAAACATAAAATAACAGATTATTTTCACAGTGTAGTTACTGTATTACATTATCTATTACTAACATGAACAAACTTTAAGTAATATATTTATTAATACATGTTTGTTAACGCAATGTCAAATTAAATAACATTAGTTATTTACTATAACATACTGTAACTAATTAACATTAATGCACTGTCAGTGCATTAACTAATGTTAACATGCAAAACTTCGGATTTTAATAATACATTTGTTATTGTTAAACTATGATTAATAAATGTTTTATAAGATTATTTATGCTTTTTTAATGTTAGTAAAAACATTACCTAACATTAACTAATGCACTATTATTTTAATAATAAATAAAACAAACAAAAAACTGAGAAAAGCTAAAAAATGCAGTCCACAGTACATTTAATTATCACTACATAAGATACACAACAGCAAAGAAAAGAATGTGGAAGTGAAATTTGTTTAAGGGAGGATATGTAAAACAAAAAGTCAAGAAGCGAGAGTCAGAGGTTTGCGTGAGCCGGATGAAAGTGACTCATCAAAGAGAGCGACTCTAGCAACGCAATTCCAGCTCCGTCCCTTCCCTCACACTCACATCTCTCTTGTTTCAGAGATTGGGTGCATTTGTACCACCAGCTCTCGACAAAACATCAAACAGCATGGCAAGACAAAAGGATAATAGTGATGTTTTAAGTGGTTGGGGGAACATATGTAAGCACACCAAGCAATTGTGTGCACGGGTTTCCATGTTTGTTTGCTTGCTTCTAGTACCATAGTTTGTTCCACAGCATGTAATCAGCTCCATTTAAACAATTTCATCCTAAGAAGACACCAAACTCGGTTCAGTGGTCTGATGAAAGCGCATTAATAAACTGATTTCTCACCATAATGAGCGCGCTTCAAAAAGAAGCATAGATTGCAATTAGAACAGAAATGGACCCAGATACAAGAGAGCAATTAGGCTGTCTTATTATAATCATCATCATTATAACCCGCTCATGTAAATTCGCTGATTTTTGGTTAAGTGCAATTCCATGCAAATGTCAACCTTACCATGGGATAATGAAGTGTTTACCCATGGAACGAAACCTCATTTAGGCCTCTATTTTATTGTATTAATGATGTCTAATATACTTTTTTTTAAAGGACATTTCATTGTTTATCCAACACACAAGGTGCATACCAATATAGTTGAAGGCAAAATTATTAGCCCTCCTGTGAATTTTTCATTTTTTATAAAATATTTCCTAAGTGATGTTTAAGAGCAAGAACATGTTCACAGTTTTTACAACAGTTGTCTCAAACTGTCAGCTCGCGGGCCATTTGCGGCCCTCCCTTTTCCTCCCTCCGGCCCACAACTGACATCAAAATATAACGAGATTCGGCCCACCAAAACATATATTTTTGAATCATTATCATTGTTTTGCAGTCGCATATATCCACTTGTGGTTTTGACCCCCCCACTTAGTGGACATTTATAGTACTGTACTAAATGTCCAGGTTACTTTTGGTTTCTCTCAGTGTGCAGTTGAGAGTAATGCACAAGCAAACAAATTCTGGGTCTGATTTAAACTTTGAATATATGTTCATAAATGCTCTATTTTTACTACAGCTACATTTTTGTAAATAATGAAGGGTCATTTGATTCCTCTTCATGGCTTACACGTTATGCTGGTGGTGTAAATATGATCATTTTGCTAATAATGGATTCAAATGTCCTCATTTGATCGATTTATCTCGTATGCATGTTGAGATTTGTACACAAAATGTGCATTAGTAAAGTTTTACGGCTGACTGAATTTAACAGGTTTAAGTGAATATTTGTAGTTTTACAAAAAATAAAAATATTGAGATTAACAATTGCCAGTAAAGTCACTCAAGTTACCCAATCTTCTTCTTTTTTGTCTTACGCTATCTGTATTCTTTTGTTTAAGCAACGACTGATTGGGACATATAATAATAATAATAATAATAATAATAATAATAATAATAATAATAATAATAATAATCACATAATAATAATAATTACTATTATTATTATTATTAATAATAATAATAATATGCCTATTATTTTATTATTATAATAATTTATAATATATATATATATATATATATATATATATATATATATATTTTTTTTTATATATATATATTTTTTTATATATATTAGTATTTTCATAGCAATATAAACTACCTACAGAAACAAAATGGAGGTTTGACTGCATATACTCTGGGGAAGAATGTCTGAGTGCAGGTTTCCAATTTTTTTTGTGCTTAAATATTAAAATTACCCTTCTGTAAATTCTCAGTCACTGAAATAACCCCCTGAAAATTTGAGTTTGAAACCCCTAACTTTCAATAATAGTGTGTTTTCTCCCCTGAAGAATGCTCTATTTATTTCAGTTAGGTTAGAATAATGGCAGTTTCTCAATTAGCTTTTTTAAATATATATTTTAAAGTCAATTTTTATTTCTCCTCTTATTTTTTGATTGGATACAGAACAAACCACTATCCTCCAATGACTTCCTTAATTAACCAAACTTGCCTATTTATACTACTTAAGTCTTTAAACTGCACTTTAAGCTGATTATGAGCCTCTTGCAAAATAACTAGCGAAATAGGATGTACTGTCATCATGGCAGAGATATACAAAATTAAATGTTTAAAAATATGTTGAAAAAATCATATCTTTACTTAAACGGTAAACAGAACTTTGGAAGTATTTAAAAAAATAATTACAAATTCACATGAAGGCACTTTATAATCAGCCTTGTTTGGTGGGTACTACATTTTTACTTTACAAGGTTAATAAGCCTTTCCCATAGTAATATATACACATGTCTGAATGATAATTTACACATTCTTTTATTACCGGACATGCAATAGAATTGAATTGAAAGCACATTTATATACAGTACACATTACTTCATAAAGACTCAATGCACCACAGAATGCTTAATCTGTTCATTCATTTATCGAACAGGCCCATTGTTTTATAACTGTAGCCTGTATGGCTCAAATATAGCCAAAATATTTTAGAGAGGACAATTTGCAACCAATTCCTCATGGTAAAGTACCATTACAAAGAAGGACAACATCACTTTTTAGGACATGAGCATGTTCATTCTCTGTTCCATTCTGGTGGAATTATCTTCTCCAGCCCATCTGAAACACCAAATTTCTGACAACATTCAAAAGTAGCTGAAAACTCAACTTCATTCACAGGAAAAAAATGTGTCCATCATACTAAGACTTTCTTTGAAATCTGTAGACTCAGAGAGAGCTCTGCTCTCAGAGATTTGCTCTCACAAATATAACACATTTTAAGAATGCTGATAACCAGCTTTGGTTCCCCACTGACTTCAATTGTACTTTCTGTCTATACAATAAAAATAAAAGGGAACTCAAACTGTTTGATTACAACCATTCATTAAAATGTTTTCTCTTGTTTCCACACAAGAAATAATAATAATAATAATAATAATAATAATAATAATAATAATAATAATAATAATAATAATAATAATAATAATAATAATAATAATAATAATAATAATAACAACAAACAAACAATTGAATGACACGAGGCAGAGTCGATTCTGATCATTAAAATTTTTGGGTACACATTTGAGGGCAATAGTCATACACAAATCTGGTCCAGAAAGAACCAAAAAATCCTTTAATAGGTATTGTTGTCTCTGAAGGTTACATCTCAGGTCACAGAACATCCACAAGTAGCAGACGCTTCAAATAGCCAATATCGCAAAGCTTTTTCTGCAGTGAGATTTTGGGAAGGTGCAAATGGGCTGTTTTAATTAGCTATTTCTCTCAGAAGCTTCATTACACATTGTGACTGCAGATGTCACACCCGTAACACTGGAATTGGCCTTTGCAAGCAGTCTGTATCAAAACATGCCAAAATATTGCTGATAATTAATGACATGAATTGTTCTCTCAACATGTTGAGGACACAAAACCCTTCCAGTGAATTCTATTCTACCCTCATCTTTCTGTTATTTCCCATTTCTAAAGCTTACCCCTCTCTTTCTGGCTCACAGTTTTGTATTTCTCTATCCTTTGTCCAAAAAAAAAAAAGAAGCTTTTGACCCTTTAAGATTTTCAAAGAAAGCCAAAAAGTGCAGATATGATTTGCGTATAATTTTCAACTTTCCTTTGACTATCTCAGTACTTTTTCTCTTTTTGTCACATATACTATCTGGTGCAGAAAACACACACACACACACACTTGAAAAAGAAAGTGAGCACTTAAAACTATCTTTCGGTCCCGCTGTTCCCTACATTTCTACTTTTTCCTTGCTCTTGTATCTCCTTTCTTCTTTCAGCACAAATAAAATCTCAGACATGTACTCACCCTGCTGGACGAAGGAGCCGTAGACAAACCACATGGAGTTGTAGAGGGTCGTGGAGGAGACAGAGCCCATCGGCAGTCGGGGAGGGTTCAACCAGTTGAGCAGATACACCAGAGTGCCCACCAGCAGAACTGTGCCTGCTATACATGCCCACAGAGACAGGTCGAAAGGCGCCAGGCATGCAAACATATCCACCGTCCTCTCCGCCTTCCTCAGCAACACGCCGACGGAGTAGTCCATGTAGCGGGTGGTGAAGTCCACCACGCTCTCCCGCTCAGGAGTGATGGTCAGGGCTGAAAGACCTACATCTGCTCTCTGACCGACACAAACACACAAAAACAGACACACAGGGAACATTTTTATTTAAAAACAGTGCAAAGAATAAGGTTTATGACTTTTCAGATTTATAATTTTGAGCTATCCAAGCTTTCAACGACAAAAAGCAAATTACAGTAGAATCACTCTTTAATAATCAATGATCAATTATATATCAATAATAAAACAATCAATAATATATAATATAAACTACTTCCAAATATACTTTTCTTTATTTATTAACAAGCTTGTTTTTCATTTTTAGAGCATTGCTTCAGTGGAATTTGATAGCACAATCTGTTCGAGAATGTGTATCTTTTAAATAATTTAAGTATATTTTTTAGAAACAGCCTCCTAATAATTTACATTGTGAACACTAAGCTTCTTGATATTGTTGTTGTGTTTGAGTATTGTTCATAAATTAAATTTGTATTTTTTTTTTTGTTGGTATTTTTTGGTATTTTTTTGGTATGATATCTGGATAAGGGACCACTATTGAAGTAATTGGGTTAATTTGGGTAGTGTACATTTACAGTAAGTTCTTGGGGAACGTTGATTAATGTACACTGTCCCTTATTGTAAAAATAAATAAATAAACAAAATGTATTCCAAAATAATTTTTTTTGAGAACAGATTTCTGATTTTTGAGCATCAGTTAAGCCAACTTTGGCACCTGTCAGCTTCAATTGTGGGGAAAACTGGCTAATTTTGAGCTTTTATCAGCTAATTTAATCTTTAAGGTTTAAAATAATTGGGGCGATTTCAAAATAGGTGACGTAGCGCAAATCTGCTAGTGGAGTGATGATGTGTCGGTTTCCCATTATTGTTTATAGTGGAGTTTTCTTATCCTATAAGAAGACCCTGCTTCTTAATTGCGTCGCGCCATAAGCGCATTGCTATTAACATGACGGAAAGTAAGTTCACTTTCGCTTTTGCTCTCGTGGATAGGGAAACCTTACCGCACAGACAGCAATTAGCCTATAAATAATTAATTTCGATTGTTAAGTGCAAAGATTTGTTTCAAAACTATTTCTAAATTCAGTTCTAGTTTCCAGCAAACGAATAAATGATTAATAATAACAAAGTTTGGTAAAAATACTGAGTTATTTCCAAATACACCTCCTATGCCGCATATGGTCTAAAACCTGACAGGTGGACAATTCGAAGCTTTTTTTTAATAAAACAAATATAAATATGGATATATTAAATAATGCTGCTAATAATAATAACATTATACAAAAGCATATTGAATGAACTGAAAAAGCCTCCCGAGATGAAGAAAGTAAGGCAGTGGTTTTTAAATTCATGCAGGCTAGAAATTAATATGTTTTGTAATATTTTAATCATTTATATTTATATCCTATATATATCCTTAATATATTATATCTTTTTCATATGTAAAGATATTTGCGCATTGCATCTTGTGTGTAGTGTGTAAGCCAGGCGCACTAGACAATAGACCAAATTTGTTCTGGTCTAAAGATCAGACTATTTACAGTCTCTCAAAATAGCAACGCGCCAAAACACGCCTGCTTTTTTAGACCAGAATGCCTATGGGCGCACATTTGAGCGCAAATGCATTTACTATTTAAACAGCGTGGCGCAATGCCTCAAAATTACCCTTGCGCCAAGCTTAAAGTAGTAAAAGACTATTGCACTGCACCTTGCGCCACATTGCGCCGGGTGTATGATAGGGCCCTAAGTGTTTGTTTCCATGATACACGTAGTTTGCTGCCTGTGTTTCCCCGCAATGTTGTCAGGGCTGATACCGCCTAGCTGTTTGTGTGTAGCAAGCATTTTTGTCGGGAGAGCTGTACTAGCATTGGAGAATAGCGACTTCGGCATTTATCAGTTGAGTTTGTTACCATTTAGACACATCACCTATATCTATATCTATGCTGCTGTGTTCACCTATGTTTAAAATCCTCCAGATTACTGTCAGGATTTATGGTTGGAGTAGATATGGCAAGAGACCTGCTGCACTGCAGTTCACTGTGTCTACATTCAAACCCAGGGATTCAGGAGGAGAGAAGTCCTCATCATGTATAGTGTTTACATGCTTATCTTTATAATGATATAACAAATTGTGGTATATGAAATTATGAATAACATATATACCAGGGCATTCAATTACAGTTTATTTATTTGCATTTTAACTTTGTAAACTATAAAAACATGCATCTCCTCACTGTTTGTGTCTCATTTTGTTAGCCAACTGACAACAGTGTTTCACTCCCCTTTTTTCTCTGCTCTGGAGGCCACTTCCACTCTTTCCTCTGCTCGTAGCTCTCAATGGCCATTATAATTATTATAATTTTTTTTTTAATTTGCAGGTAGACTTGAACCGAAAGAAAGAAACCATGAATCATGGCCGGTCAAAGCCTACCTGGACTCTAAAACACTGAGACATGGAAGAGTTTGGTTTGTGCTGTTGATATGGCAGAAACAATTAAATTCTCTTCAAAAGAATGAAGACTTGGGCTCAAATCGTAGGACCAATCATTGATCATTGTGAGCTGAAATTCAGAAATGATCTGACGAATTAGACTGTAGCAGGTTGACAGAAAGGAGGGGCTTAGACAGAACAGATCAATGAACCAACCATTTCAGACACTCCAAGATAAGAGGTGATGCTGTGATGTATTATATGGGAAAATGTCAGCCAGTTCTCATGAGGAAATGTAACTATTTAATGAAGAAATGTAACCATTTAATGTCATAAAAGTGGCTAATTTGTATGAATTCATACAATTTCCTTCATATGAAATAGTAACATTTTTAAAGAAAGAGTGCCCCCAAATCCCACCCCTAAACGTACCCCTCTGAGCAACCGAAAGTGTACAAATTAATATGAATTATCAAAAAGGTAATTAATTGCCTTGGGATTGCGTTGGAAAACAGTGTTTTTTAATGAACTCATATAAACATTATGCAGGAGACCTCCAGGAAAATTAGGAACGTTTAAACACATACTTTCCACATAATAAATTATTGAATGAAAATGTCTAAAATCCGACAGAAAATATCCATTACTACTTAGCTTTTAAAGGCTTAAATAAATGCCCTCTTTAAATGTAAAATGAGATACAGTTAAATATTTTATTGGAGGAATCAGAAACTTGTGGACGTTTGAAAGATGTTTTAGAAGCCTAGTTTCAGTACAGAATGTTTTTAGATCTAAAATTTACAGTTTACTTTCATAATACACTTTTATAACATATTTGACTTCTTATGATACATGGACACTTAATATAACCTCAGTTTATTGGGTTACCTGCGTAAATACAAATGTATAACATGAAATAATTAAACATTATTGCACATATATATTATGAAAAACAAATGAAAGAGATTTTCACCTGAACACAAACATATTGAAACACAAAAATCTATTTCCATTTGCTAACCCATCTGCAAAAAGAAATCAGTTTAATGACAGATGATCGTTTCCATTATGCCAAACCAGCAGACGTGCAAATACACATCACTCCTCATTGTCCTCAATCGCAATATAAATAAATAAATAAAAATATCCACCATCTTTGCTCCGGTGAATGTCTGCTGCCTGAAATTATTTCTAAGGCTTTTAAATTCTAAACAACGTCTAATTTGTGTTGTCTTTCTTTCTGGCAGTTCTGGAAATGATTGTGACTAGGTGTTCAGCGCAGCGGTGAGATTAGATGAGACCTCTGTAGCCTGAAAGAGTTCCTGTCAGGAGGCATTACCATCGGCAGAACAAAGGCACATCATTATCATAGGGCGAGAGCCTGGAGTCTCCTTTCTGACTCCCATTAACCCTCCTGACCACCTTCAGAGATCAGAGACCCCCGTGAGACCTCCGAGTTTGAGTAGGGTTAGAGAAGCATCCGGTGCCCAGATCACTTCACAAGTGTTAATCCTCACGACAAGTGCTCCTCTGACTACCTCGACCTTAGAGATTCTGCAAGTTGCATCAAGTCAAATTTAAGACTTGTTAAGATGCTTTTTAGTCCATTATGAATTACATTTAAGGCTTACATTCAAGGCCAAAAATTAACACTCGCTAAGATTCAAATGAGACTAAAAACCTGTGATAAACTGGAAAATAGACAAGAAACTGGCCATCGACAGGTAAAAAAAAAAAAAAGTTATCAATAAACAACGTAGTAAGAATGACTGCTTCAAATGTTTTCCAAACAAAGATCGTAGTGATTGACTGTTCTCTCATCAATTTCAAGAATGAATCGAATAAGCTGATTCATATAGGCAGATAAGTTTAAAGCAGCAATTGGCTCGAAGTGTTTTAGGCACAGTACTATAACCTTTTACCTTAGACATTGATGTTTTATTTAGCATGATTAACCTTTCTATATTACCATGAGTAAGACATGAATGTGGCAACATACAGTACCAGGGGTCACTCTGACAAAACGGAAACACACTGACAATGAGCAAACTGATTCTGGTTCTCTGCATTTTAGTAAGAGATAGCGTCTCAGTGACAATGGATCTAAGACAGACTGGGTTGAATTTCATTATGCGACTAAAATGATAGACTCTTTTGTTTACTCAAACGGGTTTTGTTTTCTTTTTTTACTTAAAAGTAAAACAAGAACAATTAGAAAAACACTATAAATATGATTAGCCATTCTAATAATAATAGTTACATGTATTTGCAGAAATGTTTTAAGGCAAGCGAAAAAACTTTTTTTAGGGGGGAGGGGGAAATTTTTTATTTCGCCAGCCATTAGCAGGTGTAGCAAAAAAATTATTTTAGTGCTTGCTTATACCATAACATCAAAAGATTAAATAAAATGACATTACAAATTATTACACATAAAATTACTTGCATTTCCCAGCATGGTACTGGGTTGCGGCTGAAAGGGCATCTTTCATCCTTCTAAAACATATGCCAGAGTCGCTGGCAATTCATTCAGCTGTGGCAACCCCTGATAAATCAGGGACTAAGCCAAGGGAAAATGAATGAATGTGTAAATGCATGAATGAATGAATGAATGAAT